CATTTAATTTCTTGTCATGCCAGATGGGTTCATTCTGCTTTGCTTCCTGGGGTTGTGATCCCCATTGTCTGTTCCTAGGATATTGTCTAAAATTTTTTTAAGTGCTGGTTTGCTATTCATGAAGTTTCAAAGGTGCTCTTTGTCATGAAAGTATCTTATTTCTCCATGTATTTTGAAAGATAGTTTTGCAGGGTACCTCAATCTGGGTTGGAGACTGTTTTCCTTTAGGGCTTGAAATACATCACTCCAAGCTCTTCTTTCCTTGAGGGTTTGTGTTGAGAAGTCTGCTGTGATTCTGATGGGCTTTCGATTTGTTTCTTTTCTCTCACTACTTGTAGAACTTTGTTCTTCTGTTGTGTTTCTGGAATCTTACCAATTATATGCCTATGTGTAGTTTTTTTTGATTAAGGCTATTTGGAGTCCTATATGCCTCACTTATCTGTATGTCATGTTCTTTTCCCTGCTTGGGAAGTTTTCTGCCATCACTTCTGTGAACAGTTTTTTTATGCCATCTGCACTCTCTCCTGTTTCTTCTTTGACTCCATTCATTCTTATATTATTCTTCTTCATGTTGTCTAGCAGCTGCTGGATTGATTTCTCATGGTCCCTTACAATTTTTAAGCAATTTTTCTTTTCCTGCTCAATAATTGCAACCTTATCTTCTATATTTCAAATTCTGTCCTCACATTGACTCATTCTGCTACATAGACTTTCAGTGGAGTTTTTAATGCCCTGGAAATCTGTTTGCATCTGTTTTATGGATTCCATTTGTTTCCTAGGTTGGTATTCCATCATGTCCCTCAGCTCCTCTCTAGATTTATTAATCATGTCTTGCACTATGAGCACAATCTCTGCTGTTATCTGAGAAATTATTTCTGATTTCATTTTTTCCGGATCGTTTTTTGTTGCAAGTTCAGGGAGTCTAGGTGGTTAAGTATCAGAATGTTCCTTCTCATTTCCCTTTGGAGTTGCTGTAGGTAATCTGGAAGTCTGGTTTTGTGCCTTGTTTACATATCTTCTCATTTCGATCTGGGGTGGGGGATGCTATTGGCACCAGTGCGGCTCACCTCCTCTGTGCATGAAGCAGTGGAACGGCGGCCTGAAAGCCCCTTCTTCTGCACTGTAAGCAGTGGAATGGTGGCTCGGAAGCCCCTTCCTCTGGACAGGGAGCAGCGGGAAAGATGGCATCCTGAAAGCCCCTTCCTCTGCTCCTGGAGCAGCAGGATGGAGGGTTGCCTGGAAGCACCTTCTTTTGGGCTGTGATCACTGGGATGGAAGGCAGCCCAGAAGTCTCTTCCTCTGGGCTGGGAGTGGTGGGACAGAAGGCAGCCTGGAAGCCCCTTCCTCTGATCCAGAAGTGGTGGGGTGGTGGTCAGCCTGGAAGCCCCTTCTTCTGGGCTGGGAGCAGTTGGATGGAAGGCAGCCCAGACACCCCTTCCTCTGAACCATGAGCGGTGGGACCAATCCCTTGCTAATTTTAAGGAATCTTTCTTTCTGTGTTGCCTAACTGCCCATCCTGTCTTCTGTATCTGAAATTCTGTCCTCACATTCACTTATTCTGCTGCAGAAACTTTCAGTGGAATTTTTAATTTCTTGGATATCTGATTGGATGTGTTCTATGTTTTCCAATTCTTTTCTATGTTGGATATTCATGGATTCCATCATTTTCCTCAGTTCCTCTATATATTTTATCTGTGTCTGCTCTAGAGTTATTAATCATATCTTTCATATGGTTACCATGTACAACTCACCCATAAAGTAGGAGAAACTTGAGACATTTATACCTAAATGGATGCACATTGAGGCCATACTTTTAAGTGAAA